GCTTCCGCCACTGTGCTGTGCTTGATGAAAGCCACTTCTCCTGCTCCCTCCACGAGGCACCTAGAGCAGAAAGCCAAGGGGGGGCGTCAAAACTGGCACCCCCACAGAGCAAGGCGGGGAAGACTCCCCTGACACACACACACACACACACACACACACACACACAGAGAGAGAGAGAGAGAGAGATGAAGTGCAAAGAAAGGAAAGATGCTGGCAGGGTTGGATGCCAACAGGAGCTACAGGTGACACTACTTCTATCATTTCTTTATTCTTTATTATTATTAAAAAGAAATGTATTTGTTAATAAACAATTACAGTCCCTCTGAAAACACAGGTGCGCGGCTTGGGGGTGTCCCTCCTGGGTTCATCTCTGAGCCTGGATGCCCAGGTTTTCATGTTGGCCAGGAGTGTCTTTGGACATTTGAAACTAGGGCACCAGCTGTGGCCGTTCCTGGAGAGGACGGATCTGGCCATGGTCATGCATGCCCTAGTTAAATCTTGACTGGATTACTGTATATACCAAGATCTAGTAGGTCTCTAGAGCCTGTGTCCTGAGCACACTCCTGTCCTGCAGTGAGTCCTGGACCCTTTTTGTGCACGGCAGGAGAGGAAGCTGAACACCTTCCATATGTGTTGCCTCCGACGGATTTTTGGTATCACCTGGCAGGACAAAGTTCCCAACAGAGTAGTCCTAGAACGAGCTGGAATTTTTAGCATGTATTCCTGAAACAGCGACGTCTATGTTGGCTTGGGCACGTCGTGAGAATGGCTGATGGTCGGATTCCAAAGGATATCCTGTATGGAGAATGAGTGCAGGGACATCGCCCCAGAGGCAGACCACAGCTGCAATACATCTGCAAGCGGGATCTGAAGCCTTAGGAATGGACCTCAACCGATGGGAAACCCTGACATCTGAGCGTTCAGCCTGGAGGCAGGCAGTGCATCACGGCCTCTCCCAATTTGAAGAGACCCTTGTCCAGCAGGCCGAGGCCAAGAGGCAGTCCCGGAAGCAGCAAAACCAGGGAGCTGGACAGGGGACAGATTGTATCTGTCTTCAGTGTGGAAGGGATTGTCACTCTCGAATTGGCCTTCTCAGCCACAATAGACGCTGTTCAGAGACCTCTATTTAGAGCATTTTACCATAGTCATTGTTATATGATATTTTGTTTCCTGCCCAGAGTAGTCTATATGACTAGATGGGCAGGCTATAAATGTAATTAATTAATTAACTGTCTCTTGAGACTGAAGGTTGCCCAATGCTAATGGACATTCTGTTTTCATATTGATTATATTACTGTTTTTAATGTAATACTTGTTTAATTCTTTTTAAATATTTGTATACCTATGGTTTTTAGATTCTACATACTTGTCTTTTTAATGATGTAACCCTCCTTGGGTTCTTCTAAGGAGAAAGGTGAGACAAAAATATTTTAAATAAATAACAAATTATTAATTGCCCTGTGGCTCTCTTTCCACCCATTAGCATGTGGTGCAGGTGGAGCATGGATATATTTTGCTGAAAGGAGACCAGATTTTAAAGCAATGGCTTTCCCTTAAAGCAAGGATTTGATCCATGAGGTTCAGGCTAGATGGGCGGGAGAGAGGAATGCCACACTTTGGCACGCCATGAAGTCAGAGGTTCCTCCAGCTTTAGGCCATGACCAGATCGTCTGCTTCCATCTCTGATGTCTGAGAAAGCCGCCCCCCCCGCAAGTCCTCAACAGGCCCCAGTGGGTGGGCACCAGACATGTCACCTCGCCCTGCTGGACACGGAGCCATTCAGCTTGGTCGCTCTGCACAGACTGGAAGACACGGCTGCCCAGCGGGGTTCAGGAAGCGTCTTTCTCCACCCCACCCCACCCCATGAGGTGTGGATTGGGCTTGGCATGTTCCTCTCGCCCATCTCCACTCAGCCCCAGAGTAGGGGGCCCTCACCCCACCCCACCCCACCCTGGCAGGGTTTGGGCTGTCGTAACCCTCCCCCCGCCCAAGGAGAAGGCCCACAAAGCCCCAAGGGGCCTCTGGGGGCCACCCATGCAGGAGGTGCCAAGGACTCCCATCTGCTCTCCAGGAAACAAAGACAGCCCCACGGGGGCCCATGAGAGATACCTGAAGGCGCCAAGGTAGTCGTAATATTCCTCCTGGGGGTTCGGCTCACATCTGCCCTGCCCAGTGGCGTTCCCTTTGCAGAGCTCGCAAAGGGAGGGAGGGTAGCCATCCCCATTGGCCCCGGGGACACAGCTGGACTTGAAGAATTCCCCAGCCGCTGGAAGGGAAGGGAACAGGTGAATCTCTGGCCAGGTGGAAGGGCCTGGGCAAGGCCAGCCTTCCTGGGTCAAGGTGAGAAAGAGCCTCACACGCCCGGGAGCTCCTGGCCAGCTGGCCAGCCTTTCACACTTGCCCGAAAGGCTAAGTTCACTGGAGAAGAGTTTGGTCGCCCTGGCCCTGAAAATCTGCTGAGCTCAAGATGTGGGCTGCGAGAGTCCTTCATCCCAATGTTACTCCCTTCAGGCAAGGATCAGGAGCACTGCAGCTGGGGTTTTTTTTGGGGGGGGGGTTGCACCACTGTAGGCACTGATAGGTGGCCAGGGGGGATCTATGCCCAGGGCCATAGGGATCCCCTGTGCCACCCTACAGAACTGGCGTTGGTGGGTGGGGAGTCAGCATTCTTGCAAGGCAAAGAACATGTTGGGAAGGCCCACCAAAGTCCTCCCAAGGGGAAGCTGGCTTTTGGCACTCAGGAACAGGGTGACTTTTCTTGGTGGCCTGCAAAGCCCTCTGCCCCCCCCCATTCCAAGGCCTGTTGAGTGCCACCCCCCCCCCCAAATTCCGTCAGCATGAGAACATCTGTGCCGCTGCTCAGAGCAGCACCAGCAGCAGCTGAGTTGGGCCCTCGGCAGCTCAGGAGGGGACCAGATAGCTCGGTGGCTGCAATTCCAGGTCTCAGGAGCTGGTGCTTCCACTGTACCAGCCAGGGAAAGAGCCACCCTTGGTGGCCTTGGGCAAGCTGCATGGAGGGCCCCAAGAAGTCAGAATCCACACTTGATGGAACACCCTTAATAAGCCATGTTCAGGCAGAATCAGGGTTGGAACACCACTCATGCGCAGCTGCTGCTTCTCTCCCTTGCTCTCCTCCACCTCCACCCCTCCCCGGTTGGTCACGGGGGCCCCACCCAGCCCAGGAAGGGCTCACCCTGGGCCACGTGGCAGTCGACCACCGGCATCCGGCCACTGTCCAGCAGGAACCCGATGGGGACGTTCCAGCCTGCGGTTCTATTCAAGGCGGTGTGGCAGCTCTTGGCCCCCCTCAGGCTGTTGATGGTCAGGTTGGAGCTTGCCTTCACCACCGCCACCGCGTAATAGGAGGTGCCGACATCTGTGCCAGGAGAGAAGGTGAAAGGATGGAGGTGGCAAGGCAGGAACTCCGGGGTGTGAGGCCCGGCTGCCCTCGGTGGGTGGGAGGGGAGGATCCTCGGCTGCCACAAGGTCGTCTTCAAGCAAGAGGGCATACGCTGGGACTTGCGCGCCACACACACACACACACACACACACACACACACACACACACACACACGCACACACACACACACACACAGAGAGAGAGAGAGATTCTGTCTCCTCCACTTCCAACCGGCCCCAATCTTGGTGCTGTTTGTTTGTTTAATCATGGGTTTTAGAAACAGACTTAAACCACTCACCAAAAGACAATAAACACCCTGCCCCACCCACCCACCGTCCTAGGGACCAAAGACCCTTTTTGGTTTATCCATCCATCCCACCCAAATGGCAACAGGACCACTACTCTGAGCAGCAAAGAAATCATACTAACATAATACAAACAATCCCAATACAGTGGGGTCTTGACTTGAGAACTTAATCCGTATTGGAAGGCGGTTCTCAAGTCAAAAAGTCTGTAAGTCAAGTCTCCATTGACCTACAGTGCATTGAAAACCGATTAATCCCGTAACAGGCCGTTTTTGTTCCATTTTGGTTTTTTTCTGGTCTGTAAGTCAAATCTCAGTCTGCAAGCCAAACCTAAATTTTGCGGCCAGAGAAGTCTGTAACTCAAAAAGTCTGTAAGTCAAGCCGTCTGTAAGTCAAGGGTCCACTGTATGGTCCATGGGGTCACGAAGAGTCGGACACGACTAAACGACTAAACACACACACACATTGGCTCTTTGTTCTGGAAGGTTGTTGTTCCTAACGTTTCGCCAGTCTCTGTGGCCATGGGCATCTTCAGAGGACAGCACTCTATGCTCTGTTGCAGTTTGTTTGAGTGTGGAGTATTTTTGTCCTTTTCACAGCCATAAATACTCCACTCCCAAACAAACTGCACCAGAGCACAGGTTGCTGTCCTCTGAAGATGCCCATGGCCACAGAGACTGGCGAAACGTTAGGAACAACAACCTTCCAGAACAAAGAGCCAATGTGTGTGTGTGTTTAGTCGTTTAGTCGTGTCCGACTCTTCGTGACCCCATGGACCAGAGCACGCCAGGCCCTCCTGTCTTCTACTGCCTCC